GTCTTGTGCTCTGGTCTATGAGCACTCTTTTCTGTCTTGGAATTGTGAGGAGGGTTTCCTCCCCATAGCCACTACAAGCTCCACCATGTCAGCACTTCTCCTCACCCCAGGGCCGCCACTCAGGACTGTGACCCAGATCCAAGCACGGGCAAAGCAAGAGAATCCTGCACCAGCAGAGAGATCCCTGCAATCCCCCTCTGATAAGCAATTTGATTCCCCCTCAGTCTGTGGGCTGGAAGCTCAGGAAGCAGCCACTGTGCCAATGAGGGGCTGAATTCCTGCGCTCCTCTCTCATCACTGCAGTCACAGACTTTTCCCACTGACCTAAGTTGTCTTCGGTATTCACAGGTTGAGAGGTCTGGAAACTGCCACAGCTGCTCCAATTCAGTCCTCTGAGGCCTGCTCCAGGGTCTCTGTGGCCTGCGTGCCCACGCCAAACTGCGCTCCTTTCCCAGCCCGGCGCGATATACCTTTCTGATCAACCATCCAGGCTGTCTTTGGCTGGAAATTTGTTTCACTCTTTTTGTGGGTTCTGCTGCTTTAGAATTCATTTAGAGCCATTTTTTATAGGTATTTGGAGGGGTTTGGGAGAGAGCTCAAGCAAGTCACTGCTTTTACTTCGGCATCTTGGCTCCGCCCTGGCCATTGTATTTTTGAGAACCTCTCATCATAAGGATATTTTCTTTTATTTTGATCAAAAGACATTACTATTTGTAAAGTGTTTAGTATAGTACCTGGCACATAGTAGGCACTATGTGAATGCTGGCTGTTAACCTAATTATTATAATTATTACTATTATGATTATTATAACTGTCATTTCCAAGTATACGATTTGTCCTATTTCTGTTTAACGGTGTCAAATAGATCACATAGAGACTGCTTCATGTTCATATGTTTAAAGACAGGATTCAATTTCCCATTTAGGTTTGTTCTTCAGGCTAAATATCCCCAGTTCCTTTGAAAAGTTCTTTTCATGGCATGATTTCAAGTCTCCTCACTCTCTTGGTTGCCCTCCTTTGTACTCTAGTATGTTGATGTCTCTTAAAATGTGACAGCTAGAATTGGACACAATAATCCAAAAAAAGGTCTAATCAGGATAGAGAGTGGTGACCGTGCCTGTATTTTCATAGACATCTAAACATCATGTTTTTAGTTGTGGAATCTAAAATTAATTGAGCTTCAGCTTTTTTTTTGTGCTGCCCTATCACACTGCTGACCACTGTCTGCTAAAATCCTTGGCATTTTAACACAAACTGCTTCTGAGCCATCTCTTATCCTGTTCTACATTTGTATAGTTGATTTTTTTTTAATCTCAAGTATAGGATTTTATATTTATTCATATATATATAAATTTTACCTCACTAGAATCTGGCTCAGACACTTAGTAAACTGTCTGATCTTGGGCCAGCCACTGGCCAGCCTCAGTATCCTTAACTGTAAAATGAGGAAATTAACAGCACCACCTCATAGAGTTGTTGTCAAGGTTCAATAAGATAATATTTGTAAAGCACTTGGCACAGTCTATATAAATGCTAGCACTTCCTCCTCTACCTTCTCTTCCTCTAGACCATTCTTGCTTTTGATTAAAAATAATGCAGGGTCCTATAGCATTGCATTAGTGACCTCCTTTCCTCTTCACAGGAAGTTATCTAAAGCTTCTATTACACTAAGATGCCAAATCCTCTTTGGAGAGGACTAAAAACAAAGAACCTAGGAGAGTAAGAGACTGAGGTGGCTAGAGAATGCAGGAAAAAAATTTAGTTCTCAGGCCATACCAAGTGAACTAGTCACTTAAGAAGAAATTAATTTTTTTCTCATTTTTTTCTGCTTTAGTGTGGGGTCTTTATACTGTTAGGAAGGTTATTTTTGCTGTAATACACAGAAAAACCCAATGAACACACAGGAGTAACTTCTGGGGTCAGTCATAGACCCTGAAGATCACACGCTCATATGATTTCCCCCATTTTCCACTCAAACTACAGGAAAATACTCAACACACATTTGTGTTTCCTCAACATTTTCTGCTCAAACACATTTGTATTTGTGGAAAGAGCCAGGCCTCAGAGACAGGAGAGTTGGTTTCTATTTCTAGATCCTGACATTAACTGTGACCTTGGACAGGTCCTTTAAACCTTTGGTCCTCATGTTTCATCATTTGTAAACTGAAGATAAGATACCTGGCTGCTAAGGTTGTTGTGAGGACCAAGTGGATGGGTTCTGTCCACTTTTAGGCCCTACTCCTCTTATGGATTGTATCTTTTCCCTTAAAAGGCAGTGGTAACTTTGGAGAAAGAATTGCGTCCTGGGTTCTGGTTGCTCATCCCCTGTATTAAAAATATCGGAAGCTGCACCTATAAAGATATATGTGAGATAATTGACACCTTCATTCCACCTGGGGAGCCCTGCCCTGAGCCTCTCCATACCTATGGCCTGCCCTGTCACTGCCCTTTTAAGAAGGTAAGTCTTTGGGAAAGTCACTTTGCATGGTTGATATGAGGAGAAGGGAGTGTTGGGTGGTTTTCAAGTCTGGGTCACTCTAGGTTCTCTTTCTTCTTCTATCACCTGGGACCCTGTGGGAATTCAGAACTGCTAGAGAAATTAAGAAGATTCCCCTAAGTTGCCCTATCCTGTCTTGGGGAGGAGATATGGGTCCCAGTTGCAAGCAGTGTTTCAGGAAAGGAGAAAAGTGGGCAAGACCTTGAGTATGGCAGGTACTGTGGGAAAAGCTTAAGAGAGTTCTCCAGTTTGGCGACTATTGACCTCCTAAGGGCCAGTGAGTGGTTCTGAAAGCTACTATTTGCTACCATTTCCTTTTTCTGGTTCCTTATCAGAGCAGGCAATCTTGGGGACTTGAGAAAAAAGAAGCCTAGAAAAAATGGTAAAAATGATATAGTGGCTAAGGGAAGTGGGCCACCATTGACACGAAACCCTCATGCCTCTGGTTGTATGCACATGTTAGCATTATAGAGAAATATACTGGGGAATTGGGAGGAGAGCTTACTGTGCTGGAGTTTTCAGAGGTGGAGGGGCACTGCTAGAAAAGATCCCCTCCTGACTCTTGGTCCCCTTTCATCTCTCCACAGGGTACCTACTCGCTGCCCAAGACCAGCTTCCAAATACCTCCTGTGAAACTGCCACATTCTCTCAGCAGCGGCAAGTACCGTGCTCAGGTTATTCTAAGCAACAGCAGTACACGTCTGGGCTGTTTCAAGATCACAGTCCCTTTCACAGAGAAATGAGAGACCATGATCCGTGCCTGGATAGAGTGGTCAGCAAAGTTGACTTTGGCTTTGCTGCCTAGTCACCTACTCTAGCCTCAGCTGTGGATCTCTGCTTAGAATAAGAATTCAGCTCTAGCCACTTGAGTTGGGCCTCCCAGCATCATTGCCAGGACAGCTACCTCTCTGTTCTTTTGTCTTCCACACAACCCAGGCCTCTCTCTTTTCTCCAGGCCTAGGGTATGAGCAGCTAAGCAGGAGCAGTTCCCAGGCCTCTTCTCCCAAGGGGTAACTCATTCAAAGGACTGGCCTACTTTTTTAGTATTGAGAAGCAAGCACCTTTCAGATAGTATTATTTCTCAATTCAGTAAAGGATCTTTTAAAGTAGCGAATTAATGTTTTAAAATAATAATAGCTTAACATTTACATAGTTTGTGAAGACCTTTATATATATATTTTCTCATTTTAACGATTCTCCCACTCAAGCTTCTCCCATTCTCCCCCCCAACACACTGCCACCCTTTTTTGGGGGGCCTCTGACTGAGTGAGTGGATCTATTCCTATGCTTTCTGGAAAAGCAGCAGCCAACAGTAGGTACACAGAATGGATCCTCAGACCCCCAGGGCCTCAGTCTTCTTGGACAGCAACTCTCTGAAAGTGCCTGAACTTGTAGTCAGCCAGGAGGCCCTGGTAGTGGTGACTATCCACTTTTTCTAAATGTGGAGCCAGTGGCCTGGGAGTCAGCTCTAGGTTTTCTGAACGGACCAAACTCTATCATAGACCAGGTTGCCCTGAGGTGTATGTGAGTCTTCTGAAAACATTTGCCAAAGCTCCTCAGATAAGTCGCCCAGCCTACAATACCCCTCTTTAAGGGATAGGGATGTGGGTGGGGGAGCTGGAGCCTGAAGTGGAAGGATCAGTCCTAGCCCACTTCTACACAGGGTGCAGAAGGGCCAGTGGGTGACCCCAAGGGGTAGGGGTTCACAATAAACTAAAACTGGACTAAAAATAAATCTATATTTACTCTTCTACAATTTGTTTGTATTTGCATTTCTACATTGGTTTTTCTTATCAGTTAAAGAGGTATTTTAGTTTTGGGTTTGGTTTGTTCCTCTAAGAATTCTGGATAACTTTTTTCCTCAGGCCCCACTCCTAGACTATCCCAACTACACAGCCCTAACCCTGTCTTCCTTCCTTGAATAGCCAGGGTGTGCCAGGGTAAAGGAGGACCACCCAGCTTCAAGGACCCAATCCATCACCTCTCAGCAAGAGTCACTGCTGCCCCCTGAAGTCATGCCTAGTCTCTGTAAACACAATACTGGATTAAGTTCCTTCATTAATTTTACTTTAATCTTTTTTTTTTTTAAGGTAGCCCTGTTCCCACTGGCTCTCCCCTCCTCCCTTTTCCTTAGTTACTCTTTTCCCTTTAGGGTTTTGTTTATTTGTTCCTCTCCTGCTTTTATCTGGTTATATATTTTTCCCCTCTTTTTGTCCTTAGTTAAGTAGATTTTGCCCTCCTTTCCTCCACTTCAATTAGTCCTCTTAAGGTTTTTTATTTCATTTTTGCACCCCTTTCCAAAAGGGATTTCTTAAACTCTCCTCTATCCATCTTCTCTCTCTTTACTCATTCTCTGATTCATGATCCCTACAATTTCCTTTTCTCTGCATTGTTTTTACAATCAAAGTTTCCAAGGCATTCATTCTAGGCTTTGCCCTCTAGATGCTTTCTGCCACTGCCTTGTAGGGCTCACCCCATGGATTTCCCCTTTCTGTTGTGTCTTATCAGACCAAGGCCAATTTTTGCAGATGACAGAGTGGACATTGCCCTGTGGTAGGGCCCTCCCCGCACTGATTTATACCATCTCTTGATGACTTTTTTTTTTCTACATTTGCCTGGAAATCTTCTTATGTCCATGTTATCCCACCCTGCTAGGTGCCAGTTGCCTCTAGGGGTTCCACCTTTTCCTCTCCCAGGACAAGTAGACTTTTCAGACACATTCCCCCAGGCCTCATCCACCTTCACCCATAGGAACATTGGAACCCCCTCCCATCTCATCTCCAAAGGAAGCCCTCCCTTTCTCCCTCTCCTCATTCATCGCCTGTAGACCCTTCTGAAACCACAGAGGTCACCTTCCCCCCAGTGCTAGCCCTAGGTTTGGCTGCAGTGCATTACTGTCCCCTTGCTTCTCTCATATACACTCTCATATTGTAATGTAGTCCCATAAAAGCAGCATTTACCTGTAGGCAGAGTGTTGCTAGCTTCTGTCCATAATGCTCCTTCCCTCTCTACCTCTTCATTGTTACCTCTAGGCAAATTTCTGCCTTCAGTCCATCTCCTTATATAACTTTAGAAAGAAGCCTTTCTACTGTTACCGTTGCTACTGTCTGCATTTATTCACTTCTGCAATTCTGTTGGGTGTGTTTGAGAAGGAAATACTCCCTTCTGTTCTTGTTTTCTAAAAATGTTTCAAACTCTTATTTATTATTGAATATCCCAATGCTTTTTGAAATACGTTATTCCATTTCTTCCTTTTTCTAGTGGATATGGAATAGTCTTGCATTATTTGAATATCTTTACCTTTGTATTTCATGGTCTCTCTCCTGAAGACTTGCATTATTTGTTGTTTTTGAATTAAATTTAAATACTGTGTCTTGGAGTTTGCAGTCTTTTTCTTTTTTTTTTTTTCCTGGAGGAATATATGAATTCTTTCTATTGGAATTTCATTTTCTGTGTTTAGAAGTTTTGGGCAGTTCCCTTCTATTATTTTCCTCATTATAGTGTTAAGATTTTTTGTCTTGTTTTGTTTTTTGTCTCTCTAAGGAGACCCTTAGGTTGATCCTTAGGTTATCTCCACACATTCTGTCTTCAAGAGCTGTATATTTTGCTAGCATAGCAAGCATATTTTCTTTTAATGTTTTTGTTTTTTGCTTCTTTGCTAGGTTGTCCTTTTATTTATTTGCACTACCAATCTACTCTTATTTTTTGTTTCTTTGGTGAGACTAAATGTTGAGGTTTAGAGGTTTAGGGGTGTTGGGACCCCAAAATTACGACATGCAGTCCTGCCCAAATGAATTTGACCCAAGCCTTCTTTCAGCCAAAGACAAAGTTTATTAAAGATCAGCCATGTTGGCCAAACTCTTAAGGAATCTGAACATTTGTGACCCTCCTAAAGATGGACGGGCATGAGGAAGTCTCAGACCCTAAGTGGTCAGGATGGATCTTATATACAGAAAGACTATGGGAGGGATCTAGGAGTGGCCAAGTAGTTTGGGGTGACTGGGGAGGATCCTGGGAGTATCTTGATGGTAGTGACTGGGAGATTGAATGGGGTCTAGATAAGATCAAGGATGGGAAGTAACTGGACCATCCCCTGTTAATGGACAATGGAGGGCTAGACTCAATTAGGGTAACAAAGAATTGGGAGATTGGGCATAGCAGATAAGCAAAGGCCAGTAGATAGGATTATATCCTCAGGCAAACACTAGAGACTTCCTTGATCCAGTAAGAGAATTTCAGGGCAGTCCAAGGGTTTTCTGGGGCCTGTAGACAAATAGGACCCAAACTCTTTTTTTGGGGTGAGAGGCAAAGGTTTTGGCTTGGGCCTGTACCACATCATTACCATTGCAGATTCAAGTTTTTTTCTGTGCTGCTCATTTTAGTTAGGAAGGACATAAATTCTCTCATATTTCTCATTTCTCTTTTAAACCACTCAAGAACAGCATGTTGCGGTTCCATGTTCTCATTTCACAAGATCCTCTGTCTCATCAAGTGTTGGATCATTTCCCTTCATTTTGCAGCATTCATACATATCTGAACTTGTTTATTAGATCTGGAGGCCATATTGCCTTTTGTTTTTCCTGTTAATTTATCTGTTTATGTTTAAGGTCTTTGAGATTTCTTCCTGAAATCTTTGGTACTCTCAATCCCCACCTTATCCCCCTTATTTTCTTTATCATTTACTTCCTCTCTACCCTCTAATTTCCATGGGGACTGGATCTCAAAGTCTCTCAACCTCCTCCCAAACTGGGTATTCATGGTTCATGTGCCTAGGTCTCTGCCTCAATCGACTTGGGTGGTCAGAAATGGCCCCAGCTGGATGCTATGTTCTTTCCCTCAGCCTTGGACACCAAGATAGGGTGTCTTACCTTGGTAACCTGTTCCACTCTTTCTGTTCCTTAGATCTCAGGCCCAACACCGGTAGTTCGGAGCTTTGTAGCTCAGGTGCTTCCAGCCTGAAGCCCCTGGCAGACTTTTGCTCCTTAAGGACTGTGTCCAAGTTGTCTGTCTGAGGCTCAAGCAAATTTCTGCAGCATGGACCCAGGCCAGGGTCACTATGGCATTGGAAAGAGGGAAGGGGAACTGGGTTCTCATGGAAGTTAAGTGCCTTCTTCAAAGGTACACGGAGTAATTGTCAGGTGGGATTTGAACCTAAGTCCTCTGACTTCAGGGTCAATGGTTCTCCCATACAGTACAACATTATCTGGGCTGATTATTTGTATATTCCTATTTCAGCTAAAATTTAATCTAGGTAACCTCAGTTATCCTAGCTCTGATTTTGTGATTTTATGAATGGGCCTGGTTATGGAAGGCTTTGAATTAAATTTGAATACCATACTTATACTGCATTCCCTGCTGCTCAATCCTGGCTCATAAACCAACTAACCAATTAATTCTTGAGTATTGATTCACTTTTTGGGGGTACAGGAGGAGGCAAGGTCTGGGTCTTTTTGGATTCCCAGTCTGGTTAAAGAGAAGAGTCAGTACTGGGTTTTGCCATACCAAGGTGCCAATGTTGCAGTGCCTGCTCATCTGCTTCTCTTTTGTCTTTGTAGTAACCCAGAGTCTCCTTTTAGCGCTCTTTCTCCATGATGGTTTAGTGTATCTGTCACCACTTGTCAGGCGCACCCTTCCTGGTCATCCTGCTTTCCCTAAGCCAGTCTCAGATTTGGCTCATTGTCTCCATCTTCTGGATTCCAGTTACCACTGCCTTTCCTCTCTGAACATGAATCCTTCTACACCCAATTTCGACTACTTGTTTTAGAATGACATCCAACTCCTTCATTTTACAAGCGGGCAAAAGGAACACCAGAGGAGAAAGGGAAAGGACTTCTCAAAGTCATACTACAATTCAATGGCAGGTAAGTTTTCACTCCCAAGCCAGAGTTTTTTCTACTATAATGCACTGACTTCTACCACTCTTCCTCCCCTGGAGAGGAAGATGTACACAGGATGTTCACAGGATTTATTTATCTTATATATACCTCGATATTTATATGTCTCATGCATTAGAATGTACATTCCTTTTTTTTTTGGCTAGGCAGTTAGGGTTAAGTGACTTGCCCAGAGTCACACAGCTAGTGAATATCATGTGTCTGAGGCCGAATTTGAACTCAGGTCCTCCTGACTCCAGGGCCAGTGCTCTATCCACTGCACCACCCAGTTAACCCCAGAATATACATTCCTTGAGAGCCAGCTTGCCTTTCTTTGTATCACAGTGCATAGCATGGTAAATGTGCTATGTGCATGGTACATAGTAAATGCTTTCTTTTTTTTTTAATCTTTAAAATTTTTTTTCAATCAGCAAAAATCTGCCTTCTCTTTCCTCTCTGCATGAAGGGGAGGGCCCCTTGCCCAAAGTGAGAAGGAAAGAAAAACAAACATGGTACAAACATGTATAGTCAAGCAAAATAAATTTATACATTGGTCACATGTGAAAAATGTTTCATTCTGCCGAGTCCTTCACCTTTATCAAGAGGTAGGTAGCATGTTTCATTATTAGTCTGGAATCATGGCTGGTCAGAGTTCCCAAATCTTTCAAAGCTGTTTATCTTTACCATTTTTATTATCATTGTATGAGTTCTAGTTTTGTTCACATCAGTGTGCATTATATGTTCATAAAAATCTTCCCAGTTGTCTCTGAAACCATTCCATTCATTTCTTCTAGCCCACTAGTATTTCATCACATGTATATACCATAACTTGTTTAGTCATTTCTCAATTTACGGGCACCCCCTCTGATTCCCATTCTTTGCCACCTCAAAAAGCTATAAATACTTTCGTACATCCTCAGAGTTTGTTTTGCTTAGCTCCAATCCTTCGCTTATTCTAACTTCCCTCTAATTCCCCCTTTCCCCCTCCCTGTTTTCCATCCTATTTCCTTGTTGAGTTCTCTATTCAGCTCTATATGTGTGTATGTATATTCTTCCCTCCTTTGATCAGTTCCAGAGAGAATGAGGTTGAAGTGTTAGGTGTATTAGGTGTTCCTGTCTACTTGTACACTGATTATGTGAGATAATTTTCCCTAATCTTCCTTTCTCTTCCATCCTCCTTTTCACCCCAGTGTTTTCCTCTTCCCTTCAGTTTCCTTTCTTAAGATCATCAAGACGTAATAGAACTCCCAGATCTTGTCTAGTTAGACACCCTCTCTGACCCCTGATGAGAAGATTTAGAGGGGACACATATGTCATTGCTTCATATTTAAATGTATGCAATTTATCTTTGCTCATATCATGTTCATTCATTCATACCATTTAATGTTTCTCTTAACTCCTGCTGAGCTTCAAAGTTTCTATGTAGCTTTGGTGTTTTCATCAGAAATGCTTAGAAGCCCTTTTTCATTAAAGAGATTTTCCCCCTCCAAAAGGATTCTCAGTTTTGCTAGGTAGGTTATTTTCGGTTGTAAGTTTATATCCTTTGCTTTCGGCAATATTATATTCCAAGTTCTCCTTTCCTTTACAGTGGTAGCCACTAAATAGTATCTGATCCTGTGGCTCTTTGGTACTTGGATTCTTTCTAGATGCTTGTGATAATTTTTTTTTTAAATTTAGAAGTTCTTTTGTATTTTGGCTATAACATTCTTATGAGTTTTCGTTCGGGGATTTAAAGTGCTGAGTTCTATTTCCACTTTGTCCTCTGGGCAGTTTTCTTTTAAGATTTCTTGAAATGTGATATCTAAGCTCTTTTTTGGGTTGTAGCATTCAGGTAGTCCAATGATTCCTACATTTTTCTACTTGATCTTTTTTCCAGGTCAGTTTTCGCTATGAGATATCTTACGTTTTCTTCTACTTTTAAAAGTCTTTTGACTTAAAAAAAAAAGCATTCCTCATCATCTCATGAAGTTATTGGCTTTTATTTGGTGCATTCTAATTTTCAGGGAGTTTGTTGCTTGGTCAAGGTTTTGTATCTTTTTTCTTTTTTCTTTTTGGCTAGCAGTGGGGTTAAGTGACTTGCCCAGGGTCACACAGCTAGTAAGTGTTATGTGTCTGAGGCCGGATTTGAACTCAGGTCTTCCCGACTCCAAGGCCGGTGCTCTGTCCTCTGCACCACCTAGCTACCCCAAGGTTTTGTATCTTTTGTGCCAAGCTGTTAATTCCCTTTCCAACCCTTTCTTCCATAGCTCTCATTTTTTTCCTTTAGCACTCATTTAATTTATATGTATTTTTTATCTTTAATACCTGCTTCATCCCTTTTAGGCACTCTAGTTGAGTTTTTGCTACAGCTTCTTTCTGAGGCTTTGTTTGTAGATATTTTGGAATTCTTTCTTCTGAGTTTGAATCTTAAATGTCTTTGTCACTATAATAGCTTTCTATGTTGGGATTCTTTATTTGTGTATTCTTCCAGCCAATTTCCTACTGTTTTGATATTAGGGCCAGGCTCTGCATACTTCCAGAGGGAAGATCTGGGCTGCTGCTTCTATTGCTGCTCTCTTAGGATATTGAGTATTGTGGATCTTGGGGACAACTCAGTCTGAAAGCTTTCCTTGCTCCCAAAGTGGTCCGATCAAAGTCCGGCAAACTGTGATTGCTGCTCCCCCGTTCTGAGTTCTGCGAGTTCTTGATCTGTGTTTGGATCTGAGCAAGAGAAAAATGCTGCGGGACTCAGCCATGAGACCAGCTGGGAAATTTTGCTGTTTCAGAGTGACAACTGCAGGGTCCTTTTTTTGGTTCGGAATTCATGCCCTAGGTTATTCTTCTGCAGGCTTTAGACTGGACTAGAAGCTGGAACTGAGACCCTACTCTGCTTCTGATGGTCTGAGATATTCTGCTGTTGTTTGTTCCTCTCTTGGTTTATCACCCAGGGCTTGTGATCCCTCTTTTTACCAGAATTCCACCGTAAGGCAGAGGTCCCTTTCTCAGTCCACTGTAGATCTGTGACCTGGAACTGTGTAGGGGGCAGTAAAGCTGCCTATTCCTGTCATGGTACCCTGGTATAGGTTTGGGATCTTTTTTCCTGGTGCACAACCTCTCCCTTGGGCTGGAGTGCTTTGCCCAGAACACTCCTCTTGGCCAGAACCCTTCCCCCAAGGTCCACAGACTTCTTATTTCTTCTGCTGACTTAGGCTGGAAAAAAATACTGTGACTTTTTTTTTTTTAATTTCCTCATTAGGCTTTAGTCTGGTAAATTTTCTTTTTTCTTTCTGGTGAAGCGATTGGGGTTAAATGACTTGCCCAGGGTCACACAGCTGGTAAGTGTTAAGGGTCTGAGGTTGTATTTGAACTCAGGTCCTTGTGACTCTAAGGCCAGACCTCTATTCACTGCACCACCTTGCTGCCCCAAATTTTCTTGATTTACTTAGAGGAGCGGAAGGTTGTTGTTGGTGGGGGGTTTTACTATACTTCTTGCTACTCTGCCATGTTGGTTCTATCTCCATGGTAAATGCTTAATAAATGATTGTCGCTTGACTGAATGATTACCACCTCAGAGACACTAACCTTTTGAAACTACTGGTGGGAGCCACCAGGTCTAAGGCAAGGGACTGAAGAACTCAACCTAAAACTGAACTTCAAAGGGGCAAGAGAAGTAGGAAGGCAGGGCTGTGGGCTTCATAAAGCTGTGGCTCTGGACTCAGAGGGCCTCAATCCAAATCCTACTTCTATTGCTGATTCTCTGGGTGACCTTGGGCAAGTCACCTAAATCTCTTTGGTTCTCTACTTCCTCATCTGAAAAATGAGAGGCTAGATAAACTCTGAAGGCTTTTCTGGCTCTAAATTTATCATCTGTGGTCCCATGATCCTTTTCGTTTTCTTCTTCTTTCTCCCATCTTTATTGCTGTGCCAGAAGAAACTATACCTACCTATCTGTTGGTTTTACCCTAGGTCTTAAGGCTAAAGTTTTCTTCCTAACCCATTTGTGTCTTGGACACCTTATGCAAATGGCTTCTATCCCTCTCAGGTGAGGATGAGAATATTAGAGGTTTCAGGAAGTGTGGTGGGGAAGACAAATAGACTCTTAAGGCCGTAGCAATATTAATAGCATTTATATAGTGCCTATTATATGCCAGGGTCTGTGCTAAGTGCTTTATAAATTTTACTTCATTTGAGCTTCACAATACTGCAAGATAGGTGCTGGTATTTTCCCCCATTTTACAGTTGAGGAAACTGAGGCATACAGTGGTTAAGTCACTTGCCCAAAGTCACATAGGTAGTAAGAGTCTGAGGACAGGTTTGAACTCAGGCCTTCCTGACTCCAAGCCCAATGTTGCATCCATGGAGCCGCCTGGATTCCTAAACAGCTTGAATCACTGAAGATCGATGTTACTTCAACATATCCTTTCTCAGAAGCCTGAGAGATTTTATCACTATGTATTCTCTCCACCCATGAAGATTCCAACTCTTCCACACCTCAGTACACTTCAGTCTTTCATGACTATAGCCATAGAAGTTAATCTCCCTAGAGGCTAACCCTGTAATGATGATCTTCTATGGAGTACAGCTGGGTTGACCCTCAGATAACAAACAGGTTTGCACTTAAAGTCTTACTGGCATGACTTACTAGAGCCTGAGCTCTTGCTGACGACCCTTGTGAATGCCAAGGTGCTCTGATGTCCGCCATACACATGCTCAAGAGAAAAGGGAAGGACTCAGAAGTGGTTTTTTAATGACGCAGGTGTCACTGCCTACATGAGAGTTATAGTTCAGCAGTGCTTTGGCATAGTTTACTCCTAAGACCTCAGGCAGCTTTCAGCACACTACAAGACTTTCCTAGGGGCATACAAACAGATGCTTAGGGAAACTCATCCAGAAAACACTTCTATTCTCCTCTGACTGACATTTGCTCTGACATAAAGACTTGCCTAGCTCTTTTTTTCTTTTTTATCAAGACAACTGACTCTGTAGCTACATTAGAAAGACCAGTTAAGGAATCCCCATCCAGAATGTCAGTAGAGCATGGCTAAGCATCTCTGCTTTTCTATGCTAACTGTAGGTATCTTCAGAGTGGAAGAAAATAGATGTTCCCTTTAAGACTATAGGCATTAATTGTTATAGATTTCATGCTCCCAAAGCTCCATTGCTTTGCCTCTCATAGTATTGTGCTAACATCTAGAGTCTAGGTTTTAAGCTTCACCTAGAAGAGGAAAAATCACTGACACACAGCAGGGATTCAAAAGTGAGGTATGTATAATAACAATTTAAAATCCCAGTATAGGAATGTGGGGCGAGAGGAAAGATGTTCAATTAAAAGTAGATAATTGGCCTGGTGGAATTCTGTGAGGAACTGAAAAAATTCTGGTGGATTATTTCATAGAAGGCTTGGTAGGTCCCCATTATACACCCAAGAATGCCCAGGATACTGATAAAGAGATCCTTAATAATGATGAAGGAGCTTAAACCATCCGAGTAATAGGTACAGATCTCTAGGAGTGGTGGGATGATCAGAGCCAGAACACTACAACTTGCAGAACCCAGCAGCACAGTGACCAGCTCCATTTGGGGGATCAGCATGGCAAATATATCTGTAAGAGGAAAATTGCAGATGTTCAGGATTGTATTAGTACCAAAGAAAACTGCTACCTAATGCCTACAGTCATCATCAAAGTGCTGGGATTGAAAAGGATGATAAGAATTGGCTGTTGCAGTCTTCCTCACACATGTTTCTTGCCATTGAAAGGTAACCCACCAAGACATTCAGACTCATTCAATAGAAAGAAAATTGTGCCCTTTTACAGGAAGAGAGGCTGTTGTTCCATTTCACAAACAATGCCCACATAACCAGATTAGACCCCTTAGAGGAAAGATTCCTTCAACAATGGAACAGAGATAAATGTACTCCCAGAAGGTTATAACCATATGGTTCACTGCAGAACTATACCTAGGGCAGAACAATCAGTGTTTTGGTCCATGGGATCAATTTAGAGGCCATAAAAATTGCAATTTTTTTTTCAGTGAGGGATTGGGGTTAAGTGACTTGCCCAGAGTCACACAGCTAGTGAATGTTATATGTCTGAGGCCAGATTTGAACTCAGGTCCTCCTGACTCCAGGACCCGTACTCTATCCACTGCACCACCTAGCTGTGCCTAGGCCACAAAAATTAAACACATGCACTTAATTTCTCATCAGAAACAACTGAGCTTTAAGAGAAACAATCAGTTAGCAAGAAGAGTTGGCCGATTGATAGTATTGAAAATAACATTGTTCTGTGAGCCACTAACATAACTGATTCTCCTCTTAATTGAATCTGTTATGTTTACTTGTATTATTTTTACATCTTGGATTAAAAGGTTGGTTTGACCATACCTTTTGTGCTACCCACTGAGAACCAAAATTAGATTGCTCCAAGCTCGATCTAAAAGTGGTAGTACTGTAGTCCTCTTCAACCACCAGAATCTATGTGCTATCCTCTTAGCGTATTAAAATGAGGGGGTTAGATAGATGGTCTCTTAGGTCCCTTCTTGTCCTTCTATTTCAGTCTGTTTTAAGAAGTTCTATCAGCTCTGATGTTTTATGGTTTATGTTCTAAGATCCACTTCCAGTTCTAACAGCCTTTGAACTATGAGCCTCTCTAAGGTTAGTCTCCTCCTTAGTAGGAAGAGGACCCATTTCTGCCCCTTAGATTTCTTTCTCATTTAATACCTATCAGTCTTTCTTCTAGGAACTACTACTGAGCCTGAAGTGGGTTCATAACTCCAAATATCTGATTTTGTGAGGAAAAAGGGATCACATACATCCATTGCACTAATTGTTCTCTACTGATTAAGAACTAAATAGATTGGTCTAATGCCACCCTTTCTACTTGCCCAACTCCAAGATGAGAGCCAAGTGAAAAGGGAAATAAAGAAAAGACAAGTGCTGGTCCCTGCGACAAGCGATGTCTATAATATGCTATGTGGACCTTCAGTTCAATTTGCAAAAAGGTTACCACCTCTACTTTCAAGCTCTTCCCATCTATTGGTTCCCTGCCTCAGTGCCTATAAACATGCTCAAGTCTTCCTAGCCTTAAAAATAAAAATTTCATTCAACTCTACCTACTTGTCAAGCTATCATACTTTATCTCTCCTTTTCACTGCCAAGTTTCTGGAAAGCATCATCTATACTTACTGACTCTATTTCCTTACTACCTATTCACTTTTCAGCTTCTTGTAACCAACTTTCTGATGTGACCACTCAGCTGAAATGGATTTCTTTTTCTTTTTCTTTTTTTTTGGCATCAATTTTTTTTATTAATTTATTTTAATTTATCAACAATCACTTCCATCAGCTTTTGAGTGAAACTGATTTCTTCAAGGTTTCTTTGCTGAATTGGATGGCCTTTTTTCAGTCCTCACTCTCTGAGCTCTTTGCCAATTTTGACACTAGTGATCGACCCCTCCCAAATACCCTCTTCTTTGTCTCTCATGACAAGACTTTCTATTTTTCTCTACACATCTGCATGTCAGTCTCTTACCCTGGATCTTCATTGGATCTGCACCATTTAAGTATGACTGCTTGGGCAGCTAGGTAACTGAGTGGATAGTGCCAGGGTCTGGAGTCAAGAGGACTCATCTTCCTGAGTTCTGGCCTCAGACATTAACTAGGTGACCCTGGACAAGTCATTTAACCCTATTTTCCTCAGTTTATTATGTAAAATGAGCTGGAGAAAGAAATGTTAAACCATTCTAGTATCTTTGGCAAGAAAACCCCAAACGGAGTCACAAAGAGTTGGACATGACTGAAAAACAACTGAACAACAACAATATAGCCGGGAAGTATGTGAGGCCAAACTTGAATTCAGATCTTCTTGACTCTAAGTTCAGCACTCTATCTATTGCAACACCTAGCTGCCTGAGTGAGAAAACTTGTGTGGGCCTTAAAATATTTTAAAGATTGTTAAAGAAAAAGGAAAATCCCAAAAGAGATCATGAAGAGTCAGACATGGCTGAAATGACTGAACAACCACAAGTATGATTGCCTTCCGAGGCTCTGTCCTGAACTCATATCTTTTTTCTTTTACTATACTCCTCTATCTTTATGCAGAGACAACTACCAAATCTTTATGTCCATTCCCACTTTACCTTCTGAATTTCAGTCCTGCCAAATTGACTGCTAGATTTCTCTAGTTGGACCTCCTATAGACATCTCCAATTCAACAGGTCCTCTTTCAACCTTAAATCCATTTCTTCTCTCTAAGCTGTTTCTGTGGAGCTGTCATCCATGGTTCTTCCTTTTCTCTCACCCCCCAGATCTATTTAACTACTAAATCATGTCGATTCTACCTCTACAAATTTCTTCTGTTTTCTCAGACCTCACCATACTATAGTTTAGGTCCTTGTCCCCCAACCCCCACCCCTCCCAGCCATAGATTACTGCAGTAGCTTCCTAAATGGTCACGCTACCACTCTCCTCTCCAATCTAGTCTTCATATGGCTATCAAAACTATAGAATGTTAGAGCTGAAGGGAACCTTGTCTAGGAGGGACTTTGTAGTGATATTATAGTCTAGCCCTCTCATTTTGCAGATGAAGAAACTAATTCTCAGCTGATGTGAAATAAGCACCTTAATAAAAAAAAATGTGTCCTGCTTTCTACTCACATGTCATACAGACCATGAATGCACGGACAGACAAGTCAACCAACAATTCACTTCGTTGTGGTGCCCAGGACATGACAAGGGGGATGATGATCTCCGCAGGAACACAGAACTGCAAGGCGTAGGTGAAAAAAATTCCAATGGAATGGAGAATCTTGACAGACTGATATAACCTGAAGATAGAATCCAGATGGTCAGCTTGTTTCAGAAAATCCTCCCAAGATCTAGCAAAACCCTTTAGCCCTAAAGTGACTGTATAGGCTCATATGGCAAGGACAGATTGAACTCAGTATTGTGTGGTATTGATGGGGTTATTAGTATCATTTATGATCTTGGGAAAATAGAAAGGGTATCTAAGTGGATTAGGAGTGAGGAGATCTAGCTTCTAGTCTTAAGGTTGAATCAATAGAAGTCTTAATGTCCCAAGCAAGGGATAGGCTAGTCCCACTGACCAAACCATGGTTAGATCACAGAAGGAGCATTGCATCAGTTCTGGGTGTCACATTTTAAGAAGGACATCAACTATCTGGAGTGTATTCAAAGCTTGTCATGTGTAAGAAGGCTTAGGCTTTTTCTGCTTGGTGGTTTCAGGATGGAGCAGGGCTGGGAAGAAGTTAGAGCACCCTCTTTACTCTGCCTCACTTCTAGTTCTAGGTTCTCCCTGTGCCACCATCACTCTATGACTTCTTCCTGGGAAGTTAACACAATTAACATTTATCTCTCAATATAGATCATGGTGGCCATTTTTTCTACTAGCTCCCAGGTCATGTTCTCTCTTTTTTTTCTTAGGAGTTCAGTACCTGGATTACTGTCCTCTTCTCCTTTCCAACTTCTGACATCATTGGAGGACTTCAACATATATGTCAGTGGTCCCTCAAACAGCTTAACTTCTTGATTCGTCAGTTTCCCACCCTAGAACTTACTTCCTACTTCACATCACCCTCCACCAGGGGTGATCACACCCTAGCTCTTGCCACAAGTGTTTCATATTCATGATTTAAAAAACAAAACAAAACAAAATGACAAACCTCTGTCATTCTTCTATCTGGGCATAAGCTTCTATCATTCCATCTCTTATGCCTCACCCCTTCTCAAACCGATTCCTTATCCTTATTTTAACTTCCAATCCCTTCATACCTCCATACTTCCTCAGATTGTGACTCTGCTCTGACTTCACTTTCTTTACCAATCTAAACCCTACAGTTAGCCATTTCAATTACATGTTGTCCTCTCCTTCCCTTACCTCTTTGTCCTATCACTACTCATTCTTGGATTATTCCTACCAATCTCCTCAATTCCTAATCATATGTTATTGAATAGAACTAGAGGAAGTCACACAATTTAGATCACCAGTTTTATTACAAATTTACATTATTTGATCTCAAGTAGAATCTCAGTGCTGCAAAGCAATCCTTCTCCCAAATCATTTATCCCACCCCCCACAGGCACTGCTCCAAACCTTTCTTTCCTTCCTCAAATCATCCTGCGATTTGGCAAGAATAGATTGAACTCAATATGGTGTGGTATCAGTAAGATTATTAGTATAATTTATGATGCCATGCCAACAACCTTCCTTATTCCCATCACCTCTCAACTGAGGGATTTGCCTCATACTTTACTGAGAAAATAGAGCCATTCACAGTGAAAAGCTGTTGACATTAAAAGCTCTTGACATCCTCCTCACCCCTCTGTCTCTTCCTTTACTTCAGTCTCTTATAATAAGATGGTCTTTTGTCTTTCCAAGATAAACCTCTTTATATGCCCTTGATCCCATCCCTTTCTCTCTTCTCTGACAGATTGGCCCCTCAATTACTCCCCCTCTCTCTAATTTTCACTCTCTTCCTATTTACCGTTTGTTCCCCCTTTTATCTATGAATGTGTTTAAGTCTCTAACGTCTTTAAAAAACTTTTACTAGACCCTGCCATCCCCTTAAACTATCATTCTTTCCTTTCCTCCATTTCTAGCCATACTCCTAGAAAAATCTGTCTACACTGGTTGCTTGTGCTTACTTTTTAGCCTTTTGCAATCTGGCTTCCAACCTCATCACTCAACTGAAATTGGTTTCTTCACAGTTACCAGTGATCTCTTGGTTGCC